GCAAGGTATTCGACAAAGTAGACCACAACCTACTTCTTCGTAACCTAGAAAAAAGTGGTATAGATAGCTTCACCACCAGATGGATTCGCAACTGGCTGACAAACTGTACTCAATGAGTACTCATTAATGGGTCTAAGTCTACATGGAGAGAAGTAAGCAGTGAGGTGTCACAAGGTTCCGTCTTAGGCCCAGTACTGTTCAATAACTTCATAAATGACTTAAATGAGGAAATAGAAGGGGAACTCACCAAATTTGCAGATGATATTAAGCTAGCAGGAATAGCTAACACTTATTTATTTATTTATTTATTTATTCATTTAATTATTTATTTTTAATTTTATTTCTATACTGCCCTTCTCCCAAAGGACTCAGGACGGTGTACAGCCTGATTAAAAGCACAAAGACAGACAAAATTTAAAAATTATTAAAATTATTAAATGATAGGCCCAATTATAAAACCCCAAATTTAAAATCCCATATTTAAAACCAATTAAAATCTTTACATTGATAGCCCAGCCTGGCAGAACAACAAGGTTTTGAGAGCACAGTGAAATACACGGAGATCAGAGATTTTATGAATTTCTGGGGGCAGTTCATTCCAAAAGGCAGGGGCTCCCACAGAGAAGGCCCTCCCCCTGGGTGTCGCCAGCTGACATAATTTGGCCGATGGCACCCTGAGGAGACCCTCTCTGTGGGAGCGAACTGCCGGTGGGAGGCTACTGGTGGCAGAAGACGGTCTCAAAGGTATCCAGGTCCAATTCCATGGAGCGCTTTAACGGTGGTAACCAGCATCTTGAATCGCACTCGGAAGACCATTGGAAGCCAGTGCAGCTCGTGCAGGAGGGGTGTCACGTGGGCACAATGAGTTGCGCCCATAACCACCCGCCCGGCCGCATTCTGGACCAGTTGGAGCCTCCGGGTGCTTTTCAAGGGGAGCCCCATGTAGAGAGAAAGGGCTGCAACTGGCGGATCTGATGAACCTGATAAAAAGGCCCCCTGGCCACCCGTCATATGTTCTTCTAAAGACAGCCGTGTGTCCAGGAGGATGCCCAGGTTGCGAGCCCTCTCTGTGGGGGGTAAAGACTCACCCCCAATAGTCAGTGATGGCACCAGCTGACTATATCGGGATGCTGGGAACCACAGCCACTCGGTCTTGGAGGGGTTGAGTCTGAGCCTATTTCTCCCCATCCAGATCCGCACGGCTTCCAGGCAGCGAGACATCACATCAAGGGCATCGTTGGGGTGGTCTGGGGTGGAGATGTACAGCTGAGTATCATCAGCGTACAGGTGGACTCTCACCCCAAAACCACGGATGATCTCACCCAGCGGCTTCACATAAATGTTGAACAGAAGAGGCGAGAGGACTGACCCCTGCGGCACTCCCCATGCAAGGTGCCTCGAGGTCGACCTCTGCCCCCCTGTGAACACAAACTGTGAGCGGTCAGAGAGGAAGGAGGAGAACCACCGCAAAATGGTGCCCCTCATTCCTAACCCCCTCAACCACTGCAGCATGATACCATGGTCGATGGTATCAATAGCCACTGAGAGATCTAACAGGACCAGGACAGAGGAGCAACCACACTCTCAACAACCTTCACCACAAAATGAAGGTTGGAGACTGGACGGTAGTTGGCTAATTCAGCTGGGTCCAGGGAAGGCTTCTTGAGGAGGGGCCTCACCACCGCCTCTTTCAAGGCAGCGGGAAAGGCACCTGCCTATCTAGAAGATGGGCTCAAGATCCAGATAGATCGTGACAGACTTGAACACTGGGCCCTATCTAACAAAATGAAATTCAATGTAGAGAAAAGTAAAGTCTTACACTTAGGTAGGAAAAACCAAAAGCGCACATATAAACTGGGGGAAACCAGGCTTAATAGCAGTGACTGTGAGAGGGATCTTGGAGTCTTAGTGGACAATCAGCTAAATATAAGTCAGCAGTTTGCAGTGGCAGCTAAAAAAGCCAATGCAATCCTAAATTGCATTAACAGAGGGATACAATCAAGATCAAGTGAGGTACTGATACCACTCAATAAAGCCCTAGTAAGACCACACCTAGAGTACTATATCCAGTTTTGGTCATCATACTATAAAAAAGATGCTGAGACTCTAGAAAAAGTGCAGAGAAGAGCAACCAGGATGATTAGGGGACTGGACACTAAAACATATGAAGAACGGTTACATGAACTGGGCATGGCTAGTCTAATGAAGAGAAGACCAGGGTAGACATGATAGCAGTGTTCCAATATCTGAGGGGCTGCCACAGAGAGGATAGGGTCAAGCTGTTTTCCAAAGCACCTGAACACCAGACAAGGAATAATGGATGGAAACTGACCAAGGAGAGATTCAACCTAGAAATGAGGAGGAACTTTCTGACAGTGAGAACAATCAACCAATGGAATAGCTTGCCCTCAGAAGTTGTGAGAGCTTCATCACTTGAGACTTTCAAGAAAAGTTTGGACTGCTATTTTTCAGAAATGGTATAGGATTTCCTGCTTGAGTGGGGCGTTGGACTAGATGACCTATAAAGTCCCTTCCAACTCTGTTAATCTGTTAATCTGAGATAGAAATGAAGAATATCATTCTGAAGTTATTTGAATGGGAGATAACAGAAGAAGCAAGTGCATACTACCAATTTCATTGAAATTTAAAATATTAAATTATTCTTCTTGTTGTGCCATATCCATCACCAGACATTGGCTATCATGCTGGTAATCCTATTAAAAATATTAAATATAATATTAAAATATTATAAATCCATGAGTTTCAGGAATGCTTTGTGTCATTAAAAAGGTAAAGGTTCCCCTCGCACATATATGCTAGACACTCCCGACTCTAGGGGGCAGTGCTCATCTCTGTTTCAAAGCCGAAGAGCCAGTACTGTCCAAAGACATCTCCGTGGTCATGTGGCCGGCATGACTAAATGCCAAAGGTGCACAGAGCACTGTTACCTTCCCACCAAAGGTACCTTCCTACCTTCAACCAAATATCTTCTTAAAATATACTATGTTCTGAGTAGTGCAGTTTTTGCAGTTCTGCTGGTGTTATTTCAGGAAGCTGCAATTTCTTGATGTGTTTTGTAAAATTCTTGGACATGGTATCAAGTGTCCTGATGACAATTGGTATCACTGTTACATGTTTCATCCATAGCCGTGTAGTTTCATCAGCTTGAAAAGAAACCTGCAATAAAATACCTTATGCCACCAGACTTGAAATTTTGGGCTTAGACAACTTAGAACTAGGCCAACTTCGGTCTGACCTAAGTGTAGTACATAAAATTATCTGCCACAATGTCCTACCTGTCAATGACTACTTCAGCTTCAACCACAACAATAAAGGAGCAAACAATAAATAAAACTCAAGGTAAACCGCTCCAAACTTGATTGCAGAAAATATGACTTCAGTAAAAGAGTGGTCAATGCCTGGAATGCACTACCTGACTCTTTGGTTTCTTTCCTAAATCCCAAAAACTTTAACCTTAGACTGTATACTGTTGACCTCACTGTATTCCTAAGAGGTCTTCAAGGGGTATGCATAAGTGCACCATCTGTGCACCGATGCCTACCATCCCTGTCCTAATATCCCTTTTTACTTGTATCCTTTTCATGTATTCAAATTATGCTTATACTTTTATCTGTTATCTTATATATGCTTGACAAATAAATATATAAATAAAATAAAAATAAATACTCAACAACTGTAAAGAAGGTAGAAAACTTTATCTTGTACAAATGTTTTTGTGCTTGTAGTACTTAAGCTGCAAATCCTTGATTTAACTGGTGTGACTCAATGCAGAAATATCTAAGTATTTTTGAAGTGTCAGAACACTGAGAATATTTAAGCAGTTCAAACAAGAAAATTGATGTGGTCATTAAGATGTTCAAGTGCAATCCAGAAGTCTTGGATTCAAGTACAGGAACTAAATGATTATGACTGATGACTCTCCCTCAACCCAATTTATTTCACAGGATTCTTGCAGGGATAATGAGAAAATGTTGTGTACTATACATTGTATTTATGTTTAATTGATTCCATCCATGCTATCCCTCTTAAACCAATTTCAGATTGGAGATTTTAAATAATCAAAATTTTGTTTAAAGAAGGAGAACATTGGAGGTAATACTCCTCATGTGTTAAAAATGCAACTTTTTAATCTTGGAAAGATTAATTGCACCTGACCAAATTATGATACTCCTGATGCTAAATGAGAAAATAAATATTTGAAGAACACTGAATGGTCTGTTCAAATTTCAAGATGATGTTTACCTGTTTCATAATGAAGAAAACTGAACAAGAAAGAAAATATATTTTCCAGAACCAATTTTAAGTATCAATTAAAAACAGTTATTTAATTAATACAGAAAACCATATTTATGTTTACTTATTACCACAAAGAAAACTAATCAAATCCGTATAGAACTTTTACCTATTGTTTTAGAAATAGAAGAATATCTAAAGTAAAATTATACTTTGCTGTAAAGTTCTTGGAGAACCCACTTTTGGTATTTCCAAGTTTTCCTATGAGGCTGTTGACGGAATAATCCATAATCCATAATCAGCTTCTTTCTGCATCTTTGGCAGATTTCTGCCCATGGTTTCCTTTCTATTCTTCAGGTATCCTACAATATTACAACTATATGCTACAATTGCCCTACAATATCAGATTGTTTCCATGAGAAAGTAGATTGTATGTCTGAGTCTTCACCTGCAGTCTGACATAAAACCTACATTTGAAACAATGACATTGTGTTCTCAATATAGGACAGGAATTAAAAATCCCATCCAAATATTTTTCAATAGGATGTAACAGCAGAGAAGAAATAAAGCTTTCTTCTTGTCTTTGACACTTTCTAAATCTTAGTTTCTATTAGTTTTTAATAGCCTTTTTATTAAAATCTGAATATAGTCATTTAAAAATGACATAAAAACATAATTAAATGTAAACTGTATAAAACTATTCAAATTAAAACCTATTTTTATAACCAACAAATCATCATTCTTCTTTAATGGAAACATAGTTTATGCTTAAATGTGTCCTTTACTTCTTTGTTCCTTAGTGTGTAAATAAAGGGATTCAGCAAGGGAGTTACAACTATGTTCAAAATGTTCACTAATTTGGTCATTTCTAAAGAGGTCCTTTTAGAAGGCTTAACATAGAGAAAAATAGTGGAACCATACCAAATAACAACAACAGCAAGATGGGAGGAACATGTTGAAAATGCTTTTTGCTTCCCTTTGGCTGAAGGAATACGAAGGATGGTAGAGATGATATAAATGTAGGAAAGTAGAGTTACAGCACAGGGTCCCAATATAACAATGATGGATATAAAAAAGGCTGCCATTTCAACATCATAGGTGCTGCTGCAAGCCAGAATTATCCAGGAATCAATGTTGCAATAGAAGTGATTAATCACATTGGGTCCACAGAAGGTCAACCTTGAGATCAGCAAAGCAGGTACGGAAATAATAATGAATCCACAGAGCCAAGAGCCACCTGCTAGCATGCTAGAGAGATGGAAATTCATGAGGGTGGTATAACGTAGTGGATAACATATGGCCAAATATCGGTCATAAGCCATGACAGATAGCAGGAAGTATTCTGTGCATCCCAAAGAAAAAACAAAGTACATCTGCATAATGCAGCCAGTAGAAGAAATGGCTTTATTCCATCCAAGAACGGTGGCAAGGGCCTTTGGAACAGAAGCTGTTGTATAGCACATTTCCAGAAAAGAAAGATTGCAAAGGAAGAAGTACATGGGAGTATGGAGACGCTGATTTGAGATTACGAGAATGATGATGATAATATTTCCTAAAACTGTTAGAATGTACATGATAAGGAAGATTATAAAGATAAACATTTGCATGTAATGAGATCCAGGGAAGCCAAGAAGAATGAATTCCATTACTTTTGTTTGGTTTTGTGCACCTTCATTGGTCATTTGGTCCATTTGTCCCATATTTCTCTTTGCTGAAATTGGGAGAAAGCATAGTAATTAGATTTTGGCTTTCCTACTTGAAACAGAACAATTTTACATTTTGTTCATTTATTTAAATCTGATTTAACCTCCATGAAGTTGAAATTATAATATCTTCCAATTTTTTTTTTTAAAAAAACCCTTCTTTCTTGAAATTGGAATACTGGGATCACATATAACCTGCCACTATGACAGTTCCCAGGTATATTCTTTAAGTACAGTATTTCTACTATGTAAAATTAAAAGATTATTCAAAGTAAATATTCCATTCTAGTGTCTTGCTTCTGAGAGGTTTTTCCCAGTTTTCCACTGCCTGCCATCCTCATTTGGAATTTTAAACTACAGTCACTAAATTAAACCAACAGACAAACACATGCTACTTACAAACATAGTTTCATGCTCAATCTGCTTGATAGATTTATGTTGCTATTCCTCCAAGAACTCTCAATAGAAGTTTTACAGAAACCAAAGGGAAAAGATTAAATAAGGCATATGGGACCTATTATTTTAAATTTAATCTTGGTGATTCATTAGATTTTGGACTGGATCATTATCAATATACTTCATTTTAACAGAAACCCACACTTGGCCTTTAAATTGTTTCTCCTGGGGCCACACCCTGCTGTATGAGAATACCATATTAACAGATTTAGTTTCAACTGTTTTAGAACATGTATTATGGGACAGTAGTAGAAAAGTTGTTTTTTTTTTTTTTTTGGTGCTTCTAAAATTTCAATGGGGAAGGGAGTGACTGTACGGTCAATATAGTCAGTATGACTAATAAACTTCAGTTGACATTTGCAAATGGTGCTTGATTTTTATTTACTTATTTATTTTATTTTGTCAAGTCTGTATTTTATAACAGATATAAGTGTAAACATAATTATAAATACATGAAAAGGATACAAATAAAAGAAAACATTAGGACAGGGATGGTAGGCATGCTGGTGTGCTTATGCCCGCCCCTTACAGACCTCTTAGGAATGGGATGAGGTCTACAGTAGACTGTCTAAGTCTAAGGTTAAAGTTTTGGGGATTTGGGAATCAAACCCCAGAGGCAGATAGTGCATTCCAAGCATTGACAACTCTGTTACTGAAGTCGTATTTTCTGCAATCTAGTTTGGATCGGTTTACCATGAGTTTGTATCTATTGTGTGCTCTTGTACTGTTTTGGTTGAAGCTGAAGTAATCATTGGCTGGTAGGACATTGTAGCAGATGATTTTATGTACTATGCTTAGATCAGACCGAAGATGGCGAAGTTCTAAGTTGTCTAAGCCCAAAATTTTGAGACTGGTGGCATAATGTATTTTGTTGCGAGCAGAGGAGTGGAGGACTCTTCTCGTGAAATATCTCTGGACTCGTTCAATTGTATTAATGTCTGATATGCAGTGCATGTTGCAGACAGATGAGTTGTATTCAAGAATTGGTCTGGCAAAATTTTTGTATGCTCTAGTTTGCAGTTCAATATTACCAGAGAAAAAACTACTCAAGATTAGGTTAACAACTCTTAATGCTTTTTTTAGCAATGTTGTTACAATGAGCTCTGGCACTTAGATCATTTGAGATGAGTACTCCAAGGTCTTTGACAGAGTGAGGGTCATCTGTTAGGTCGTATCCATCCAGCCTGCATTTTGAGTTCTGATTTTTTTTGCCAATGTGTAAGATAGAGCATTTGTTGGTTGAGATTTGGAGTTGCCAATTGTTTGACCATTCTGACACATAGTTCTCAAAACAGTGGAAAGAATAAAAGTTGTAATTCCTGAATTGCTATAGATCAACAAAGCCAAGGAACATTAACAGGTTTTGTGAAGCTCCATTTCTGTCTCTAAAATTTTCCAAATATTAATCTAAATTTTGAGCAAATGGAAGATGTTGATGTAAAAATAATGCAGTGTTATATTACTTTCTATATGTAAGGGACAAATTATTTAAATATAAAAAGGTAACTCTTTGTTCTATGCAATCTGAAAGTGAAAATGAGACAGAATGAGTGAATTAAAAAATAAAAGAAAAATATTAAGTGAGCTTATGGAAAACATACATTTTATATTACTTGTTGATCAGCTTTTCAAATTTAACTTTTCTTATGCCTGGTCTCTTATTTCTATTATCTAGTTAATTCTATAATTAGGATTTTTTTATGTCATATTTTATAGCTAACATATAGTTAGCATATAGCTAACAATAATTTACAGAAACTATGATAAATATAACAATATAATAAAAAAGAAAGAAAAAACCCCTCAAATTTCCATTCTGATTTAACAGGTCCATTTTGTCAGTGAACTTTTTTAGTATTGAGATCAGGCCTGAAAATAATGATGTAACATTTTGGGGAAAAGATGCAAATTAAGAGGTTGGTGTTGGAGGCCAAGATAGCAAAAACTTCCACAATCACAATCTTCTTCCCTGTGATGCTCAGATAAACTGGAATAAAGGAGATCCAAACACTGCAAAAGACCAGCATGCTAAAGGTGATAAACTTGGCTTCATTGAAAGTGTCTGGTAATTTGCGGGCTAAGAATGCTACAATAAAGCTGATGGTGGCCAAAAAGGCCAGGTAGCCCAAAACATAGTAGAACATGTTGATGGAGCCTTCACTGCATTCTAGTTCCATTTGTCCAGTTGGTGAATCCAAGTTAAGATGTGGAAATGGAGGGAAGATTAACAACCTAGCAGCACAAATAGCTATTTCAATGAAGGAGCAAAAAACAACAATGCCATTTGCCACTTTTTGTCCTAGCCATTTTGCAATCTTGCTTCCTGGTTTTGTAGCCATGAAAGCCAGAATAATAAGCAGCTCCAATTGGTTCACAGTAAGAAAGAAAATTTAAAATCTTTCGGATACACTGATCTTGACTGATGTTTGGATATTGATCCTGTGGGCATGGAACACAATGTGCAGCATCTATAAGGAAGACAGAAAAATATTCCTGAGTTAGAAATGTCAATGAATTTTTAAAAAGTAGTAGGTTTTTTTATGAATTGGATATCAAAGGAAAAACTTCAAATGGATGACCAGAGTTGAAAAGAGGAAAAATGATCGCAGTCATTATGCACATATTTGTCCCATCTCCCCATCTACCAGTGCAGATGTATAAGATAAGGATAGTAGAAGAACCTAATGCTCAAGCATGGCTAACATTTTATCCACCATTTTAGTTCATCTGAATAGATCCAACTTTAATAGTCCTAGTTCCTGAAATCAAGGTGCTGGATGGCTCCTTCTATTTCAATTATTATTGCTCTCTGTAAACTACAATGAGAATAAAAGCTCTGTTTTCAGAGAAAGTGAACAACAACTTCGCATCATATCAAAGGCATTTACCTCATTGATTGTACTGTAGAATTATAGTAAAACAGGAGTAAGGAGATACAGTGCATTCAGAAAATATTCAGATCCCTTCACTTTTGTCAATTTTATTATACTGTCGCATGATTCTACAATTGTTGAAATTCATTTTTTTCCTCATTAATCTTTATTCAGTACACCATAATGACAAAGATAAAACAGAATTATAGAAATGTCTGTAAATTTATTAAAAATAAGAAACTGAAATATTACATTGGCATAAGTATTCAGACCCTTTGCAACAACATTTGAAATTAAGCTCAAGTGCCTCATGTTTCTTGTGATTGTTGCTGACATGTTTCTACACCTTCTACAGTTGATCTCTGTTAAATTAAATTGATTGGACATGATTTGGAAAGGAACATACCTCTCTATAGAAGGCATCACAGCTGACAATGCATACTGTAGCACAGGAAGATCTATAAGGTGCCTGCAGACACCTCATAGATCAGAGACAGGATTATTGCAAGGCACAGATCTGGGAAAAGCTACAATAAAATTTCTGCTGCACAGAAGCACAGATGCCTCTATAATTCTGAAATGGAAGAAGTTTGGCACAACCAGGATTCTTCCAAGAACTGGTCACCTGGTCAAAGTGAGAAATCAAGGCAAAAGGTCCTTAGTAAGAGAAGTGACCAAGAACCTGAAGGTCACTCTGACTGTGCTCCAATGATCCTGTGTGGAATTCTAGAAGGATAACCATCACTGCAGCCCTCCACTGATCTGGGCTTTATGGCAGAGTGGCTAGATGGAAACCTCTTCTCAGTACAAAACACATGAAAGTCCATTTGGAGTTTGCAAAAAAAGGCACCTGAAGGACTCTCAGCCTGTGAGGAACAAACTTATTGGCACCTATAGGCTTATTCTGCCTATAGGTGCCAAAAGATACCATTTTTTCTTCAATAGTGATATTGATATCACTACAACTGCCTCAGTAAGTATCCTTAGATTTAATGGAAAAAAGCTAGCCTGTTTTCCCCAAAATAAGACATTCCCTGATAATAAGCCCAATCAGGCTTTTGAGCACATGACAATAAGGTCAAGCGCTTATTTCAGGATTCAAAAAAATATAAGACAGGTCTTATTTTTGGGAAAACATCGTAGGAGATTAATATTCTCCTTCTCATATCTTTTTTCTGCTCAGAATATCTTGCGTTCCATAAATTACATTACTGTCATAGAAGCAATATGTGTACATAAGTACAGAATTATTACCAGACAAATGAATTTCTTGCTCAGATGTTCCATACAAATGGAACATGTGTAAACTGTCACTTACCTGTCTGGTTAGAAATCATATCTTTTGAACATGGAATGCAATCATAACAACATATTGGTTTTCCTTCTTGAAGTATCTTGCATTGTCCAACATGACAACTTTCTACACATAATGAATGGGGAGGTACCTAGTTTTGCATAAAATGTAGTAAGCATTATTATTTTTACAACGGCTTAATCCTATGTATTTAGGAACCCTATACAAGTTGGCTTCCATTTTGTGCCACAAGCCTATGTAGAATGAAATGAGAAAGGACTCAAGACAGCGCTTTAGTCAAGACACTTGAGATAGCGATGAATATTGCCACTCCTAGTAATAATATAATAATATATTAATTGATTTAATTAATCAATTAATCAATTTAATCAATTGATTAATTGATTTCATCCCATATCCTATTGTATATGTAT